CCCCAAAACCCCAAAACCCCAAAACCCCTGACTTCTCAGCAAAAGTTGAGACATAAAGGAGTAGCCGTTAAGCTAATTGGATTTACCTACTAATCCTATAATCACGGACCCAATCCAGAGCATTAGAAAGGATAAGAGACCATTGAAGCTCAATCCTATTTTCTTGATATTCATCTCTACAGTTGATAGTACTCTTATAAGTCTTGTTGAAAGTGTAATCTTTCAAAATCTGAATAATTTCAGCTGGATCTTCTTTACTCATCAGCATATCTTGAATCTCCTTCAGAAACATGATGATGAATCCATAGAAATAGTCCCATTTGTATGAAAAGAAGTAATCGTAGAACCTGACCTATTCAAGATGAGCTCTAAGTCTTACCAAATTATCATATGGGAGGATACTTCCTCACAATGCCATTATCAGCTCTACAGTGAACATTTCAAGGAAGATATTCTTGATATTTCTAAAATTATGATAAAAACTTACAAGAAACGATACAAATCTGGCAGATGAACTTTTATCAGATTCGTCAGGATATCAGACTTCTTCTTAAATCCAACTAATCCAGGAGTGTAGTTATCCTCAAGGTCATAGTCCTTAATGAGCTTGACGAATAGTCAGAAGGCTAATTCAGGGCTGAGATGATGGCAAAGAATCCCTACAATGAAATTCATTCCCTGGACATACTGCGTGGTGTCTTCGAAGGAAATCTCTCAGAAGCTATCGATTACATCCTTCTTAATGGAGCTATCTCTATTTCTTCCGACTTTAGAGAGCTTGGTGCTGACGGATGAGTCATCACTATACTTCTGGTCTGAATCATAGAGTACTAAGTCTGTATCCCTCAATCTTCTTTTCCGTGAATTGTCTTTCATTTCAGTCAGATTTGAGTAAGCAGATAGCACCTTGTACATTGAGTGACATCCTGAGTTATTCGGGAATGTTCGAACTATATCTTTCTGGATCTGTTCCTCTATAGACTCCTCTATCTTCATATTAGATCACCTGTGATAAGCAGAGATTAGCTTCTGCAGTTCTTTATTCGTATTGATACTGAAGCTCCCTGGTGTGGAATGACTGAATGCATTTGCAAGCCAGACATAGCTCTTTGTACAATAAATATACGGGGACTCAAGATTATTAAATTTAGTGCATTTTCATAACAGCTTAGAGTTGGGACAATTTCTCACTGCCTTGCTTATAGGCACTATCCTTCCTGGCTTCATTGAGTGGTGGAGATTTATATCCCCACTAGATTCTTTCTGGCTTGAAGAGATACTATGCATTGTTTTGTACTCCATAACTCTCTTCTTCAAACATTGTTTCAAACTCTTCAAGTTGTTATTTTTGTGTACGGTTTGGTTCAACGATTTTACTCCCAAAATTTTTAAACGTCTCTTTGATTGCTTTTTAGACTTGAGTAGAGCCTTTGAAGACTGTCAACTGATATCTGATTTCCTCCTATTCAATTTATTTCTGAATAACTTTGTGACCTAATGGTGAGCAAGGAAAATACCTTGGTGAGCTTTCTCGTAATTTGATTTTTTGTATTTACTCTGTCTTAAAATCCCCGATTCTCATTGCTCAAGGTTGACTAAACTCTAAACTCTGAAAGCTGTAAGGTTACCTTCTTAATGGAAGATCCCTTCCCAGAAGTATTGAACTGACTCTTATAAACTCTTGGAGTATAGAAGCTGCCTACTGAATAATGCCCATTATTAGTTCTATAGTGAGTTCTTCGAGATTTTGGTTTAGGTGTATACTTCTTCAAATTTTTTTCAACTCTTCTAACCAGTAAATAAATTTTATTTACCTAATTTTGCTCTGAGACAACTGATCTTGATCTCAAGAGGTCCTTCTGCTGCATTCACTGGACATGATTGACCTGCTAGCGGTAGTTTTCCGCCGATTCTGCATTAACAAATTAGTACTTTTATGTAAAACCTGGTATTTTTCTTCATTCTCAGACATGAATTTATGCTTCTAAAAATCTAACAAATTAGCTTACATCTGACATCGAAAGCTGGTAGTCATAGACATTGTTATTACTAATCCTCTTAGACCGGAGGTCTGGCATTGGGTCGACTGAGGAGATATCCACATTGGGAGGTGTATCAACCACCTCTTTCGATGGTCATAACTCTTTGTACTTCATCATAATATTCAGCTGTATTTTGAGCACTTAAGACTACCTGTGGCCCTTCAACACTTGTCTGGGTAAAGGAAGAAGCTAGAAAAAAATAAGTGATTTATTTGTGGAGGATTATAGAGGAAGAGGATCAATGAAGATGAGAAAGCGTACATTGCGTGACATTTGTTTGTGACAACTTTTTGGTGCTTGGCATTTCGCTTAGATCTGTCTTTGAATGACTGATTTGGGTGTTCTAGAGTAAAACCTAACTCTTACTCTATTAACCCTTGCAATAGTTTTAAGGACATCATCTCTGTGAGACAGAAGAGCATCTAAGAAAGAGTTCTTCCTAACTTTCTCTGTGTTATAGAAGTGATTCCCTTCTCTAGACATCAATTAAACCCAAAGTGAACTTTCACACTTAAAAACCCCTCAAAACACCTTCTCCCCTCCAAATCTCCCCACATTCACCCACAGACCCCCCAAACCCCACAAATCTCCCAAACCCCTACCTTATCCCCCTCTCTTCAAAATTCCTCTCCGAATTCTTAAAAGAGAGACAACGGCTAGGTGGCATTTTCTTCGACAATCCCACCACTCAAGTTTCATCTGACCCCTCTTCACCCCCAAAACTCTCAGTCTCAAGGTCATCGTAGCAGCCACTGCTAAATTTGTTCCCAGTCTTCAACTGTGAACTCTTCTTGGAGTCCCTGTAGGCTAGGTTCTCCTTCACTATGTTTGCAAACTTCATTTATATATGCTAAACAGTTATTTTTAAGCAACCTTTAGAAGGGGTTTTGGGGTTTTGGGGTTTTGGGGTTTTGGGG